AGCAAGTAAGCAAGTTCTAGCTCTCAGACTTTGTGATTTTTAGCTCGCAGTCTACTATGAGAGTACTGATTTAAGCATCAGAGCGACTTCGCCGGATTAGCCACCCCGGGTCCTCTAACATTTGGTTCCTTACAGGTCTCTAAAGAGCAACGAAGCTCATCAATTCAGCTCGTCACCAGGTAGCTCGGCACCTGGTTAGCCCGGCACCTCATAGGCAGCTCGCCACTTGGTCAGCTCGGCACCTCACAGGCAGCTTGACACCTGGTCAGCCCAGCACCTCACAGGCAGCTCGGCACCTCATAGGAATCTCGACACCTGGTTAGCCCAACACCTCATAGGCAGCTCGACACCTGGTTAGCCCAACACCTCACAGGCAACTCGCCACCTGGTCAGTTCGGCACTATAGTCAGCTCGACTCAGCTCGGCAACCAAAGTTCTCTACTTCGACCTGAGTCATCGGCTACTTGGAAGCAGACCAAATAACGAGGTACTTAGCCAAAAGATTGATACATGACAAAATATCGATTCATCATTTGACGCCGTCTGTGGAAAACACTACAAAAAGCTAAATTGAACTTTAAAATGCAATAATTTAATATCTAAATTTTTAAAATGTGATAATCCAGTATCTACTGTTAACTAGCTGTTAATCAACCATTAAGTGGCATTTGAAAAAGACAAATGCCTTTCAAATATTATTTAATTTTCTTTATTAACCATCTAAACATTGACAAAAAAATAACAGCCCCAAATCCTTGCCTTTTCCATTCAAGAAAATTGGGATTACGTTTGAGTAGGCATTTTGGTGACCCCAACTTTCTTAAATAGAAGAGGCAAGGATTTGAGATTGTTAATTTTTTGCCAATGTTTAAATAATTGATAAAGAAAATTAGATGACACGTTTTTTCAAATGCCACTTAACCGCTGATTAATAACTAGTTAATAGTAGGTAATGGATTGTTATGTTTTGAAAGTTCGGGTACTGAATTGTCCTATTTTAAAAAGACCAAAGTAACACTAGGCCCAAAGTATAGAGCCCAAATTTCCAATGTTCATAAAATGTGAGTTTCGGCCGTACCATATCGAAACGTATCGTTTTCAAAATATAGATACGATACAGGGTAAAAAGGAATCAAAATTCAAAGAGAAAGACGTACGTACCCCTTTTACAGACGGAATCCCGTCCATCCGACGAGCAAAGGCAAGCAATCTCATCGTAGGCGCAGTTTTCACCGGATCCCTTGTTGCAGTCGCTACATACCTTACTAGGGCTCCAGCTTAATCGAAGCCCGCTTCGTAAGACCCTCCCGAAGTTGCTGATGATGAAGGGAAACCGGTCAACCGCCGTGTCAACGGAGACCTTGATCTCCACGGCCGACTCGCAGTTGCCGTTCCAGTCGAACAGGGAAAATCCGGTGGCAGCGTCGCCGTCTTTAACAAACACGAAAGAGCGATTTGCCTCACGGTTGTTGCTCTCCGGACAACGGAGAGGCTTGGCGGAAGCAGGGTACGAGGAGCAGTTGAAGTATAAGATGAGGTCCTTGTTATCGGAGCTGGAGAAGGGCGAACCTTCTAGGGAGAGACTGGTGCGTGGTATTGGGCAGCTCTGCTCCGGCCCCGATAGCGCCGCGGCGTTGACGACGGTGAGGGTGTTTTGAGAGTAATTCACGCTTTCCACGTAGTAATCTGCGTTGGAGAGGCTAAGGACGGGCTTGATGTTCTTGTTGCAGGAGACACCGAAGCCGGGGAGTCGGCAGTAACCGACGGTTTCACCGTCTAGTGGCCAGAAGGGGTACCTCATCATGACGCTGTTGTTACCACAGGGGAACGAAGGGCAACTGGTGAAGTTGGACGAACTTACAGGATTGACAGAAAAGCAGCAGGAGATGTGGATGATGGAGCTGATGAGGAGACAACGGAGAGGACGACTACGGTAGCGGAAGTCAATTCGTGAGACCGCCATGGAAGGAATGATGGGAGGTGAGAGTTTCTGGCTTATTTTAAATTTCGTTCTCTCCAACTCCAGTGAGCCTGATGGTTGTTGGGTAGACCGGGGATCGAGTCCTGCCTTCACCCGGGTTGCGGTCGAACCGTCAAAACAAGGGTCATTTACTAACGTGATTGGCTGAAATTAGGAATGCCAACGGACCAATTTTGAGTTGGATCCAATTCAAATGAAAATCAATTTGGATGGATGGGACGGAAGACCAATAAGACACTAAATTGGACCACTCTAGACTTACTGCTCTAAAGTATTTATTGGATTAGATTGAACCTGATCCATGTACAATATATTTGTATTGGATTGGGTTGGATTGAACCAATATCTGGTTCAATAAGAATACAGGTGTCAGCAGTCTAGGTTTGGATTGGAATCAATCTAAATTAAAACTAATTTAAGCAGATTGAATAGCCTGAACATTAAATTGGACTGATTTAAAATGATCCAAAGTATTCATCGGATTGGACTAAACCTGATCCATTTAATATGGACTCATATAGGACCCGATTAGATTGGACCAAATCTGGTCCAATTGACACCCCTAGTTGAAATAAGGATTTACCAGGCAGCCAAGTGAATGAAATGTAATAATTGAACTCTTGATTATTAGATTATTATTTAACAAGCAAACCACAACCCACTGGAAAGAAACAAAGACTTTTATCCTTATCTGCATTAATTAAGCACTATGAAAAACAATGTAAACAACTATTCTTTTAATCGTTGGTCAATCTTCATTCAAACAAATGAAACAATGGATGAGGAAGTTAAGAAGTCAATGTTTTTTTTCCTTAAATTAAAACAAATAATAATAATAATAATAATAATAATAATAATAATAATAATAATAATAATAATAATAATAATAATAATAATAATAATAATAATAATAATAATAATAATAATAATAATAATAATAATAATAATAATAATAATAATAATAATAAGATAAAGAAAAGCCAATTCAACAGACGAGGTCAATCATAGACTAGATGGCACAAATGCGATATAATGGATGATTTATTTGCCTATTGTCTATTTTGAAACTTGTAGTCATTACTTTCGTGAACTCTGGAGGTTGACTCGTTGAATTTGAATAATAATAATAATAATAATAATAATAATAATAATAATAATAATAATAATAATAATAATCCTGAGGTGAACTCTTTTCGAGGTGGGCTCAGCGGTCCGAGCTCGATCTGTAGCAGATTTGGTACCGTTATCCTAGTCACGAATTGGTATTGAGGTGATCTTAGTTCGGGATGATCTTAGCTCGAAGTAACTCTAGTTCGGGGCAATAGGGTACCCGAGGTTGCTTTGTAGCAAACTGATCATGCTGAGCTGTCATTTGTGTCTAGTCACGTCCACGCACCGATCTGATCATGCTAAGTTGTCACTTATGCCGAGTCACGTCCACGTGTCTCCTCGAGCTAGGGGTCTTGACCTGGTGCGGGGTTCACGATGTGACAAGTGGATTTGGCTTGAAGTCTAGGCTGCTCTGTCAGACAGGTCACCGGTTAGACCAGTTCGGCTGCTCGACTCAACCAAGAATAACCCAAGTTGCGTGTGGTTTACGCACGGGCGTCATGTGATCTACAAATTATGCGGACGCCAAAAAATGCGCTAAACTGATTTCGACCTCGAGGGTCGTGCAACCGGTTTTCTTAAGAGTCGTTAGGTTGCTCTAATCTTAACCGTTGATTCTTCGGTATAGTGGCTATAAATAGGGGGATTCGAGGCTCATTTTCGCCACAAGCTTACTAGCCTTCGATCTGAGGTTGCGCTTAGCTTCTTTAGCTCGGGTTTTCTAGTTCACCGCTTTCGTCTAGTTTAGTTCGTCCTTTCTTGGTGAGTCTTCCTTAGCTTCTTCTTTTCAGTTTAGTTCAGTTCCTTAGCTTTTCTTTTTTAGTTCGGTTTGTCAATGTCTTCCTTTAGTTTTGATAGTCTTTTAGATGAGGCCGAGGAGGGTACCTCGGCCCAAGTTGATAGTCGAGACAAGGCTACTTCGGGTCCAAGGGTAGTATGTGGCCCTCCTGAGGTGCAGTCACCCCGGGAGGCGCGAGAGGCCTTGGGTAACCCGGCATCCACTTCTCATCTAGGTTGGGTACCGGACCACTTCGGCCCTTCAACAATGACTTTGGATAGGCTTCGGGCCTTAGTACACCAGTACAACCTCCCAGGCAAGCTCTCTTATAGTCTCTCCGTAGGTAACTTCCCTTGGGAACACGATCACAATGAGATCGTGATTTTTGAAGAGCAGCTTGTGGCTGGTCCTCGTTCGTTTGCCTTTGCATCCCTGATTATAGAGGTCCTGAAGTTTTTTAGCATCACCATAGACCAATTACACCCGAACTCCATCCGCAATGTAGTAGGGACCATTTCTCTTTTTTACGAGTATTGTCTGCCCCTCGACCTTGATATTTTTTCTTCTATCTTGTCTATCAAGAATAACTCTTCTTGTGTCCTTCTCGAGCATAGGCGGACCTACTATCTGTCTCCTCGCCCGGGCTATAAGCTTTTCCACGAACTGCCCAATAGGATCCCGACCTAGAAACGGAGTTACTTTGTGGTCCGTAATCCCGTGGGGTGGCCTTTTCCTACCCATTGGAGAGTTGTCATTCAAGATTCCGATGTTAGGATGGACCTGAAGTCAAGGGAGATGCTCCAGTCTTGGGCGGAGATCGGCTTCCACTTCGCGGACTACATCGCCAAAGATAAGCTCGTGCAGGCCGGCTTGAGCCCTGGTAGGTCATCCTTGGTTTAGAGTAGTACTTCATTTTAGGCACTTTATTCTTGGTAATGTTGCTAACGTCGTGTTCTTGTTGCAACTCCCATGCAGCTCCGTGTAGACAAACTCCTTGGGCGGATGAAGGGAAAAAGAACCGAGCTTCGAAAATAGCTCACACTAAGTCTTTGCAGCCCGCCGTCCCCGAGCCCGAACAGCCCGCACAGCCCTCTGCAGTGCCTCCGATAATCGATTTGGAGGAATCGGGGAGGACCCCACTACGCGCTCCTGAGGCATCTTCGGAGCCCGCTCCTACTACAGTAGCTTCATCAGGTAGTGAGGAAGCAGGTCGGAGTATCTTGACTCCGAAAAACAACCTTTCCAAAAGTAAGGACGCAGTGTACACATAGGAGGTCAAGAGCTAGGTTGAACTATCGGCCGCTCAGCTTGGGGCTCGGGCGGCTATGCACTGCATGGTGGTAAGCCTTCATTTTCTTTCTTCAATTTTGTACTTGTGATTTTGCTGGTAATAACTTGTACTCTTTTGGTCGGTGAATACCGCCGTGCACGCCCTAATGTATCAGTCTGAGCAGAATTTGAAGCGAGCTCTAGCAGCTAAGAGTTTATCTCACGAGGCTCATACTAAGCTGAACTTGGCTCGTAGCAAGATCCATCTGCTGGAGAGTAGGGAACGGGATTAGAAAGAGCTTCTTATGGTGCTGATGTCGGAGAAGGAGGAGTTGCAGTGCGAGGTGGAGAACCTCGGGGCCCTTGTCAAGGAGCGGACCGAGATCCTCCTCAAGGCCATGGAGGAGGCCAAAGTCAAGGCCGTCAAGGAGTTCAAGAGCTCTGAGGAGTTGGAAGGTGAGCTGATCGAGGCAGGGTCAGAGGGCTACCGCAAAGGCTAGGTTAGTAGGTGGCTGACCAAGCGCGAGTTCCTGCAGTTCGACTTAAGTGCCATCACCACCTCGCGGATTACAAAGGTGATGGCCCTTGAAGTGCAAGGAGACCCAAACTCTGAAGCTGAGAGTGTCGGCGAGCTACTTGACATCGAAGGGACCGGTGCTACTGATAATGTTGGTCCTTCCGTCGAGGCTTCGGGCAAGGGTGATGGGCACCTAGAGGAGTAATCTTTTGAGTTGTACTTCGAGCCTGCGAGCTCAATGTCTTTTTCTTTCTTTTTTCTCCCCCTTGTTGTAACGAGCTTCTTTTATCAATGAAATACACTTTTTTGCTAAATGCTGTGCAATTTATTTTTCTAACTGAAATGACGAATGTATGGGTTACCCCGAACTTCGAACTACCGAGCTTGGTAACGAGTAAGGGTAACCAAAGCGAAATTTCTTCCAAGTATTTGTCACCCCGAGCTGTCTGTATGGGTTACCCTGAACTGTCGAGCTACCGAGCTTGGTAACAAGTAAGGGTAACCGAAGTGGAATTTTTTCCATGTGGTTGTCACCCTGAGCTGTTTGTATGAGCTATTAGTAGGGGTGACTCCGGTGAGCGACATCGTAGGGTATGTACCCGATCTGTTCGCGCACGAGCTACTTATTTATATGTTGGTTCCCTGACGGACCCGAACTGTGATTGTTGCCGAGGTGGTATAGACACCGTAGGGTTTATACCCGAGTTGTCTATTCCTTAGATGCCCGTGCCAAGGAGATGATTGGGGCTAGGCGCCCATGCCGAAGAGGCGACTGGGACTTAGCTCGCTCATGTCGAAGAGGCGACTGTGACTTAGCTTGCCCATGCCGAAGAGGCGATTGTGACTTAACTCGCCCATGCCGAAGAGGCGACTGGGACTTAGGTGCCCATGCCGAAGAGGCGACTGGGACTTAGCTCGCCCATATCGAAGAGGCGACTGGAACTTAGGTGGTGCCGAGGTCACTTGTTAGCTTGGTTTTTTAGTCCTTGGACTTCTGGAAAAGACTCGTAGTCCGTTCAGTTCGACAATCACTGGTAGTATCACCTTAGATTGCTGATGTTCCACGTCCAAGGTACTTGCTTTCCTTCTAAGGTTTCAAGCTCATACGTACCTTCCCCAAGTACCCGCTTTACTCGATAGGGACCTTCCCAGTTCAGTCCGAGTTTACCTACACTGGGCTCAGGTGCCATAACTTTCCGAAGGACCAGGTCCTCGATACGAAAGTGCCGCTTCCTGACCCAAGCATTATAGTACCGAGCCACTCTTTGTTGGTAGGCTGTGGTCCGAATATATGCGAGGTCTCGTACTTCT